TCCTCCAGTCACACCCTACCAGCCTACAGTTACTACCCAGTTAGTCTCTGTCAGGAGATTAATGCACTGATTAAGTTAAGGCTCTTATAACCCAATCATTTAATCTCTAAATTTTCTTTCATTGTCTCACACATGAGCTTTTGGAGGACACCTCAGATCTAAACCATAACACCTTCCAAATACTTTCTCCATCTTCTCCCTTAAAAGAGAAAGGCAACATAAAATGTACTTTACCACATATGTAAAATATTCCATTTAAGCATTCATTATGTGTTGACACCTTATTTTAACGGATACATAGAACACTATAACAACATTTCAAGGTTCTACTTTTCCAGGTGCAAAACAGCTTGGAGAAATTTTAGTGCTGTCCACTTATGAATATTTTGTCTGAGAAGAAACATGGAGGATTAAAATCAGAGCCTTCAACACATTCTTTATATTTGTTTAAACCATTCAACCATGTAAATCCCAGCATACAATGCCACCTTTACATCTTGTCTTTCCATTTCTTTTTCACTTTGGGTTTTGGGCCAAAAACTAAGGATGCAGGAGTCTTGGTCCTGGTAAAGAAATTTTTACCATTAAATGACATAAATGACACGCTTGAGATACAGAGAGGTTAAACCCAGTCATGCCTTAATGGTATAGTCAAGTCCCAGAGGCTGGGGGTCTCTTTACATTTGTGTACTTACTCTGCTGCTGATTGAGGTCACACTTCGAGTGCTTGGGGCTGGTGACCTCTGAGTGATTGGGGTCATACCATTGCTCCAGATGCTCTTTGGGGTCCCAGGTCTGACCTCTTGGTCCATGAGATCTGAAGAACCGATGCTTCCTCTAATGATAAAGCACATTCTGATTTTAACATGGTAGCCAAGCGACAATCAAAGGCATAGGCAGGGGACAGCCTCAAAAACAAAACAAAACAAAACAAAACAAAAACTGATGAACACATGTGACCTACACTTAGTTCGAAAGAGCCGCACTGGAACTGCTCAGCAACTATCACATCACCCTCCTCCTCAAGACCCTCCAAGGGCTCACTGGGTTTAGCCCCATTTGCCTGACTCCAAGATCTTTGGAATTGTGAGCCCCCTGAACTTTTTGACTTTACTTCCCAGTTCTTACCAGCATCCTCCCAGCCATTCTACATTCCTGAGTATTCTCTCAATTCATCAAGTTCACTTCTACCTCTAAGGCATTTTCCTTTCTCCCCACCCAATATGCCCCCTGTGTCTGTAAATCTTGTCCATTCCTGGAGGCCAGAGAAGTTCAGCTTTCCTTGTGAGGTCTTTCCTGTCAAGCACAGGCCTTGTTCAACTGTCCTCCCCTTAGTTGCTGCTGACTTTTGGTCTTTGCCGTACCATTTAGTAAGAGATTTGGTCCTGATAAAGAAGTTGTCACCATTAAATGGCATTTAAAACTTCAGAATGTCTTATTTAGTTCCCTAATTGATCCACACTTGTGGGCCTTGGTGTTTCTTTGATCTGTGAGCTTCTTGGGGACAGAGTCTATGTTATATTTACCATGATATCTCCAGCACCTTCCTAGTGCCTTGATACAAAGAAGTTACTCAGTACATGTTTTAATCAAAGATTAGAAATTATATTTCATTTCTTTGTTGTTTTAGTGTTTGACCCATGGTGCATATTTAATAAATGTGGTATAAAATAATGATGTTTGCTAAATGGGTTTGAATCACTTTCATGTTTGCTAAAATGATTTAATTTCATTCAATAATGATAAAAGAAAAAATAATTTCTGCCTTCCAGATGATCACAATTTTCTTATTAAAGAGAGCTTCATAAGTAAATGTAGAGTTTTGACAAATCACAATTTAAGTGTTTGTTCTTATTTTATCCATCATTAACCCCCAGTGCACACAAAATATGCTACAAATTATGCTGGGATGTATGCAATATATGCTGAGTTTCATTCTCTTAGTTACTATCTTAATAAGTCATGAAAGTAAGTATATTATTGGCAAAGCACACCAGCACTGGTTAACAAGTGATTTTTTTTTGGCTTACAGTTGAGTCAATCATAGAAACCAGATAGAATAAAGGAAGGATCTTTTTTTAAAAAATGTCTGAACTTACATATATCATTACCACAAGATAAATCTGGCAGAATAAAGAATAGGCAATGACCATCAGAGCTGTCAACCACAACTCTGAGTGATTGTTTTTTCCATTCTGGGCACTAGAGAAGCCATAAAAGTCAGATATAACCCAATTAACACTACCATCTTCAATAACTATGCAAAAAGCAGCTACATTTACTGAATATTTTTTAGGTGTTAGCCAGTTTCCATTGCCCAACATCCCTGTAAAAACTGTATTGTCACAGAGCTTGGAAGAAAGTAAAAATAAAAATGTAGCAGTAAAGAAGTTTCTTACCAAGACTCTGAAACACAAGCACCAACCCTGCCAGCCTTTGTAATAAATGCTACTCTTCAAAATTTAAAAATATTGAGGCTGGGGGCTAGGGTTGTGGCTCAGAGGTAGAGCACTCGCCTGGCATGCATGAAGCACTGGGTTCGATCCTCAGCACCACATAAAAGTAAAATAAAGACATTGTGTTCACCTATAACTAAAAAATATATATTAAAAAATGTTGGGGCTGGGTTGTGGCTCAGTGGCAGAGCACTTGCTTAGCATGTGCGAGGCACTGTGTTTGAGTCTCACTATGGCATATAAATAAATAAATAGTCCATTAGCAACTAAAAAATATATTTTAAAAAATGTTAAGAAAATCATTAAAATGTTAAAAGTAAAAAAATTCTATTTTAATTATTATTCCATATATGTATGCATACACGTGTTTGTATATACACACACCTGTCACCACACTACCATGCTGTCACACAGTACATGACAGTCAGGATAAAAATAGTATTGTCCATCCACACAAAGCCTGAGTCCATTCTGGTTTCTCATACTGCTCACGTATCATTTCATCAAGATAAAATCATTTCAACCAGGGGAGTTCTGCACTAATAGAGTAAACGATCAAGAAGAGAATCTGAGGATCAGAGTTAAGGGTTAGTTTCTTGGGATTTGATTAAAATAATTTTGAAAATTTTCTGGCAAATCCCTTTGACATTATGTAGATCTTCAGGCTCCTCTTTCTAGAACTGATATTCTAAATTATAGTGGTATGAACTCAGCTCAGGAGGGACTTGTGATTGTGTTTATTGATCCTGACAATGAGAAAAAAAATTTTCTAATCCAGTAGATTGTTGTAATTTGGAATTTTAAGTTTCTGGGTGATTTTCCCAAGCCTTCCTACCTCAGGTGTTACACTGCTACATTTGACAGTAGCTAGTCATAGTCCTACCTTTCCAAGTGTTTTCTGTTCATCTCAGGAAGGCCTTAGGGGACCTGCCCAGTGCTGTGGTGTGGTGACCATAGGTACTCTACTCTCCTAACTATTATCATAAAAATCTTTCTCCTTATTGTTTTAGGTAAAATAGTTTCAAAAAATAAAGGCTGGGGTGAATAGTGTACAACAGAACCAAGAAATTACAAGCAAAAGGTTTCATGTGGGCATTTCTGTTTGTGTGTGTGCTGAAGATATTCTCAGATCCAGGTGGTTTGGACAAAGTCCGCATGGTGGATTAGCCCTACTGAAACCAAAACTCCTACTTGTGTAGAAGCTCTGGCAGAAGTTGATTAATTATGGTGATGACATTCGAGAGGCGATCCTGTAATAAGGAAAGAATTCCTGTGATCGTAAGTCAGCTACTGGAAATCATCGTGGCCAGCAGCATTATCTCAAAAATGACATGCACTTTCTCATTTGTTCCTGACATTTACTGTGAGCCTCTCAAAAATATTTTCCTTTCAGTTGATTAGACTAAGAAAAGGTTTAGTCTAATGAGGCAGATCATAAATATTTGGGTGTCAACTCTTTTAGATGTTATATAAAACATGACATAAAATACATGAACCTTTGCCACTTAAATAGAAAGAGGGAAAACAGCATCCTGAAGCCTAAATTAAAGCAGATAAGTTTAAAGACCAATTAAGAAAGAGCTATTTGTGATTCAGATATCATGTTACTGTGATTAAATAAGAAGAATTAGAAATCAGTGCCAACCAACCTTCAAGCTCAATGGGTTAAGGGAAAATGGGCAAGAAAGTGATACATGTATCTTATTCTAACAGGGACCAAGTGAGGGGATGTGACATTGTCTGGGGAACTTGGTTATCATGGGTTATAGAATGACACATTTTCTAGGTTAGAAAAAAATCTCATTTCTTCAGGATATAAATAAACTTTTAAAATCCCCCAAATCTTGATAATGACTTTCCAGATGTATCCATTTCTGGATAGAGGATCCAAGGATAAGGGACAAAGACTATAATTTAATGAGTTGCCATTTTGGTTCATATAATGGTTTCCCAGTAATCATAGCCAGGAAAATAAATTTCTCAAGAAACAACCTTTCTAGAGTCTAGAAATCCTACCCAAGGACGTTCATAGTCAGTGCCTGACAGGTGTTGGAGTGCAATGGTCTAGCTCTTCCAAACAAAACTCAGGGACATAGTTCATGCTCCAGAGTCCCCCGTGGAATCAGGCTGGGTCCTGAGACTTGGACATATCTTAGATAGCACCATTACTTAGCTTCTTCACCTTCTCCATTCTGCTTCTCTTACTCCCTTACTGGTTTTGTGGATTAATAAAATTAAAATTGGATTAATAAAATTAATAACTTGCTTGCTTATGAATCCTTGTTTGAGGGTCTGTTTCTGGCAGAGAATGATTGAAGATAGAGACATCCCAAAATCACAACACCGTGACTACTCATCCCAACTTAGAAGGGACTCAGAATCACTGCATTAAATAGCATTCTCTTTATCAACTATAATTTACAATCATATCCATTTAAAAACTCTTCTTTGTCTCATATGTTCAGTCTCTAGCAACTAGCAATTTGTTACACTCTGAGAGTCTGCTAGGCCTTTCCTAGCCCATTCATATTTTCTCCTGCTTTGAAACCACTGAAAAGAAATAGTCAATTAGACATCTGCTAAAACATCATTTCCACTCTTTTTAGAAAATATTTCTTTAGTGGTAGATGAACACAATACCTTTATTTTATTTTTTATGTGGTGCTGAGGATCGAACCTAGTGCCTTACACGTGCGGGGCAGGCGCTCTACCACTGAGCGCCTCAGTCCCACCTCCACTCTTTTCTGATACACTTTATAAGGTTATTGGGAAGATTGAGGTAGCACATGTACATTACTTATAAGAGTGCTGTCCTACTTCAGATAAAGCATTAATTTCCAGGATATATAGAGAGCTCAAAAAAATTAACACACACACAAAAATAACCCAATCAATAAATAGGCTAAGAAACTGAACAGACACTTCACAGAAGAAGAAATACAAATGGTCAACAAATATATGAAAAAAATGCTTAACATATCTAGCAAATAGAGAAATGCAGACCAAAACTATACTGAGATTCCATCTCACTCCAGTCAGAATGGCTGAATACAAGAATACAAGCAACAATAAATGTTGATAAGGATGTGGGGAAAAAGGTACACTCATACATTGCTGGTGGGACTGCAAATTGGTACAACTCCCCTGGAAAGCAATGTGAGATTCCTCAGAAGACTTGGAATGGAACCATCATTTGACCCAGTTATCCTACTCCTTGGTATATACCCAGAGGACTTAAAATCAGCATACTACAGTGATGCAGCCACATCAATGTTTATAGCAGCTCAATTCACAACAGCCAAGCTATGGAACCAAACTAGGTGCCCTTCAAACAATAAATGGATAAAGAAAATATGGGGGGCTGGGGATGTGGCTCAAGCGGTAGCGCGCTCGCCTGGCATGCGTGCAGCCCGGGTTCGATCCTCAGCACCATATACCAACAAAGATGTTGTGTCCGCTGAAAACTAAAAAATAAATATGAAAAAAAAGAAAATATGGTATATATATATATATATATATATATATATATATATATATATAATGGAATATTACTCTGCCATATGAAAGAATGAAATGATGGCATTTGCCTGTAAATGGATGGATCTGGACACTGTCATGCTAATCAAGATAAGCTAATTCCAGAAAAACCAAAGGCTGGATAGTCTTTCTGATATGCAGATGCTAACACACAACAAGGCGGGTGGGAATAGAAGTTCATTGGATTAGACAAAGGGGAATGAAGTGGGGAGATGGGAATAGGAAAGACAGAAATAATCGGACATAACTTTCCTGTGTATATGTATGAATACACGACCAGTGAATCTCCACATCATGTACAATCTCAAGAATGGGATCCTAATTAGAAGAAATTATATTCCAAGTATGAATAATATGTCAAAATACACTCTACTGTCATGTATACTGAAACATAATTGAAATATTTTTAAAAAGAGGAAATAAAGAAGAGAACATAATGCATGAATATAAAAATTTAAATAATAAAAGAATATTATGGGGGGAGTAATATCCAAGCTCAGCTGCTCCAGGAAAAGACCAATGAACCATGAAGAAATCTGCATTGTGGAGGAGAAAGGAGAATAATTCTCAAACTAAGTCAGGTAATAGCCCAAAGAAAGGGGGAGCTCACAATCTCTTTAGATAATGGGAATTAAGAAAAGATGGGACATCTCCTGCCTCAACTTTCTTAGGAATCATTTTGGGGATAATGGAACACATCTCTTGCTGTGGCGGTCCATTAATGAGTCATTATGGTGATAAATACATGTTCCAGGAAAAGGACATTTTGCTTTATTGATCTCCAGAGCACTTCTATTCTTTCTTAATAGGAAAATATTGTTCTTAGCATGCTTACGCCAAAGCAATCCTGACTACTACATTCCAATTATCTGTAAACCATTTCAGGTACTTACAATTTTAAAAATAGTTTATTTAGGGACCTTCTCCATTTCATAATAAGAAGTCTCCATGTACATTTACAAGGTTTTTAATCTTACACAAGACAACCAACTTCTCTGTCTTTTTCCTTGTCTGTAAAGAGAGATTAAAATACACTGCACAAGATTGTCTAGGGCTTTGTTTCTCAAACTAATAAAGAACTAGTTTTTGGCCAAGCACATGCCTGTAATCCCAGGAGCTCAGGAAGCTAAGACAGCAGGATCCTGAGTTCAAAGCCAGCCTCTGCAATTCAGTGAGGCCCTAAGCAACTAAATACAAAAAAGGGCTGGGGATGTAGTTCAATGGCTGAGTGTGGTTCAATCCCTGATACCAACAAAACAAAACAAAAAACTACTTTTTATCAAAAAAGAACAAGAACTCCCCATGTCAATACCCCAGTATTTTGTGAAACATGTCCATATGACTTTATAGCTTAGATTATTTATACTTAGCAGTAGATAAGACACAAGGAGTAAACCTGGGCAGATAGATTCTAAAATAAATATAAACAGTGTGATATTGGGGAATATTCTTATTTTTGTTCAGTAACTGTAAGACAAAAAACTTAAAATGGCATGATCTAATTTTTTGGTAGGTCTGGAGCCTTTCTTTTTCAATAAGAAATTCTGTCTTGCCAGGTGAGGTGGTGCAAACCTGTAATCCTAGCAGCTGGGGAGGCTGAAGCAGGAGGACTGTGAGTTCAAAGCCAGCCTCAGCAAAAGCAAGGCACTAAGCAACTCAGTGAAACCCTGTCTCAAAATAGGGCTGGAGATGTGGCTTAGTGGTCAAGTGCCCCTGAGTTCAATCCCAGGTACCCCCCAACACACACCAAAAAAGGAACTGTTTTTCCACTTTTGATATAGTGTTCTTCTTAAACACTAGTCCCAAAGAATAAGCCAAGATGGCTCAACCCCAGAGGACTGAGGAAAATGAGCAACACTTACCTTAGCTGCATATCATTACTAAGTATTTTATATATACTGAGGATTGAATCTCAAGGGCGTTTTACCACTGAATTACATACTCAGTACTTTTTATTTTTTTATTTTGTGACAGGGTCTCACTAAGTTGCCAAGGCTGTCATCTCTAAATAATTTTGAACACTGCTACCTCAGAGATCAGGAGTCCAACAAGCAAAAACAAAAAAATGAGATTTTTATAGCAGGTTTTTGTGGGTGACAGTATGGGGCTTCCCTAAAGGAAGACAAATGAAATTATTTCAAGGGCAAAACAACTGTAATTTACATTTTTTAATCATAAAAGGAATTTATCTAGATTCTTGAATATTTGGAAAATATTGAACAGTGATGATCCTTTGATAGTGGATGAAAATGACTTATTCTGTTTTTATAAGGATTTTTTTTCTGTATGGATTTACATAAAAAGATACTTGCTTGCAAGAATGCTATAGGGAAAAAAGAGATAGGTATGGAGAGTCATCGTGGGGAAAAAAAACAATAGTGAAAAGAGGGTATCTTCTAGGGAAATACTCTGGTCTATATTCTAAAATGATCACAGTGAACTGAGCCCTGGGTTTGATGATTAACACCACAAGAAACAAACAAAAAAGATTAGGATTATAGGGAGAATGTAATTCTGTTTGCAGAACCTAAGGAGAAAAGAATGTCTGCCAGTTTTACTGCCTGGCTTAGCAAAATTACTGCAGCCCCAAGTAAAGAAAGGGGAATTAACATAGGGGTGTGCCGGGCATGGTGATGCACACAGCAGCTCAGGAGGCTGAGGTAGGAGGAACGCGAGTTCAAAGCCAGCCTCAGCAATGGTGAGGTGCTAAGCAACTCAGTGAGACCCTGTCTCTAAATCAAATACAAAATAGGGCTGGGGATGAAGCTCAGTGCCACATCTGAGTTCAATCCCTAGTAACAAAAACAAAAAACAAAAAACAAAAAACAAAACTAGGGGTGGCTCTTTTTTCTCATCTCTAGCTTTGATATCACACTAATAGTGAAAATAAGCCTTGACTTATGTATCCACAGGATTGAAAAAATCAAATCTGATGAGAAGTGACAATGCTCTTAGCTGTCCTACTTTTTGTTACTTTTTCTGACAAGTGATAGCTTTGTGCACAGGAGAATCTCACTTGGCCCTTCTGACAATAAGTTGGAGGAAGTGGAATTTAGGGAACAATGCCTGAGGCAATCCAAATGATAAAATTATTAATATTTTTATAAGTTGCAGGAAATGCATATGACACTTAAAGTTTTCTATTGCAGAAGCTTCAATACAAAAAGATCAAGCAATTAAATGAAAAGGGGAAAAGGTACACTCTTACATTGTCGGTAGGAATACAAATTGGTGCAACCCCTCTGGAAAGCAATGTGGAGATTCCTCAGGAAACTTAAAATGGAACCACCATTTGACCCAGTTATTCTAGTCCTCTGCATATACCCAAAGGACTTAAAAATCAGCATACTACAGTGATGCAGCCACATTAATGTTTATAGCAGCTCAATTCATAATAGCCAAGCACCTAGGAACCAACCTAGGTGTTCTTCAACAGATGAATGGATAAAGAAATTGTGGTAAATATACACAATGGAATATTACTCTGCCATAAAAAGAATGAAATTATAGCATTTGCTTGTAAATAGATAGAACTGGAGACTATCATGCTAAGTGAAATAAACCAATCCCAAAAAACCAAAGGCTGAATGATCTCTCCGATATTCAGAAGCTAACACACAATAAAGGGAGGTAGAGAATAAAAGTTTATTGGATTAGACCAAGGGGAAAGAAGGGAGGAGAGGGGGATGGGAATAGGGAAGGCAGTAAAAGAATTGGACAGAACTTTCCTCTGTTCATATACGAATACACGACCAGTGAAACTCCACATCATGCACAACCACAAGAATTAAATCCTAATTAGAATAGTTATTCTCCGTGTATGTATGTCAAAGTACACTCATCTGTCATAAATATCTAAAAAGAAAAAAATCAAAAAGAAAAAGAACATATTTGACCTGTACATCTCCATTTGAACTACAGTCCTGAGTCCCCAAACAGACACTTGTATCCCTGCTGGTGACACAGACAATTTCAACAGCTCTAAGTCCATGAGGAAGGTAAATGCTTTCTCTTTCAACTAAAAAATATCCTCCTGACTTTCTGTATTATGTGTTGGTTCTCTAAGTGGAGATACTTTACAGATAGCCAGAAGTCCTGTTTGGATGGAAATTCATCAACCTCATCCCCAAGCTACCTGATTGCCAATGGTATGTGTCTTACCTGTCTGAACCAGGGGCTGACTTTAAACTGCGAAAATTTTGGCTGTCGAAATCCAAGCTGTAGCTCCGCCCACTTTCAATTTTTGGAGTTACGATTTCTCCTCTGGTTGCTGATCTGAACTTGCTAAGTAGAAATCTGAAATTATATATATTTGTAGGTATTTAAAAGTAAGATAAAAAAGTATTTAAAGATATTTCAAGAATATAATTCTTACTAAATTATGTTATGTGCATGTATAAATACATCCCAATGATCCCCACTATTATGTGTATTATAATGCATTAATAAAAACATAATACAAAGAGTAAAATTCCTAGTACTTTGTATTTTGGGAGGGGCAAGGTACCAGGCACTGAACTCAGGGGCACTTGGCCACTAAGCCACATCCCTAGCCCTATTTTGTATTTTATTTAGAGACAGGGTCTCACTGAGTTGCTTAGCACCTCACTAAATTGCTGAGGCTGGCTTTGAACACGAGATCCTCCTGCCTCAGCCTCTGGAGTCGCTGGGATTACAGGCATGCTCCCCCACACCTGGCTTCCTAGTACTTTGAATAATAAATAGTTCTTCATTAAAGAAGCCCTGGGCCTCAGGCATTCTGGGGAGTCCCAGTACTTCCGCAGTATAGTGTCACTGGTGGTAAGGTAGAAGGGTGTGACATTCTCCCAGGACCATACTACCTGCTGGTAAGCCAGGACTCTGTCCCTGCTAAGCAAAAGACCACCTATATAGGGAACTCAGCACTATAACCTGGGGAGGGAAAGTATCACTTGGCCTGGGCATATTTGCAGAATAGATTGCTCATACTCACGTGGCTCAGAGAGGGGGCTAATTCTTTGAGACAAACTGAGGTAGCAACTTGTTAGACTGCATCTCCAAGATAGCAGTGACTGCCTTTCTCATTCCCTACCACTTTCTCTGAGTCTAGAATGATACGTGGCACATATTAGAACCAATCAATTCTTGTGGAATGAGTGACTAAACTCATGTGGTGGAAGCCATCTATATCCTCCATAACATTTCTTCCTGTGATAACAAAGTTTGAATAATGGAGTGCCTCATGTTAGATGAACACTTATTGAATTTCCTTTTTACTAAATTATTTGAAACTTAAACAGAAATAGCTTTTCAGGAACCCTGATTCAAACACTGATATTACAGAGGGCCCCAAACATGGCAGTTTCCAAGAGCAATTTAATAATAATAATAAAAGGCTATAATATTCTTTTGGGGGATGGCATTGGGAAAGACCAGTTAACTTACTTTACATTCAACAGTTTTCTAGGGGAAAAGTGGATTCCAAAGGTACTGGCAGGATCTTAATAGAATCTGCTAAGTTGTCTCTGCTTCAAAGAACCCCAGAAGTGTCACTGTCAATTGTCAGAAGCTTCAATCTACTGGAAAATTGATTTTTTTTTTTTTGGTGAAAATGGCACTAATATAATGTCAGTTTATGCTGCTCTGAGAACCAACTCGTGCATATCCCCACCTGTGCACCTCTATTTAATGTCTCCTCTGCTGGAAATCATTCTTCCTCCCTTTTGATATCCTGAGCTCCATCCATCTGTCAAGGTCCACATGTTTTTTTTTTTGTTTTTAAATTTTATTTATTTATTCATTTTAGTTCTTATGGACCTTTATTTTATTATATGTGGTGCTGAGAATCGAACCCAGTGCCTGACATATTCGAGGCAAGTGCTCTGCCACTAAGCTACAACCCCATCCCCCAAATTTTTTGCAGGGGGTGTTACTGGGGATTGAACTCAGGGGCATTCGACCCTCCCCAGCCCTATTTTGCATTTTATTTAGAGAAAGGGTCTCACTGAGTTGCTTAGAGCATTGCTAAGTTCTGAGGCTGGCTTTGAACTAGAGATCTTCCTGCCTCAGCCTCCCAAGCCACTGGGATTACAAGAATGTGCCACTGCACCTGGCTACAATTTGATGTCTTTCTTGATAGCTCCCATTACCCCATCAAGCAGGAATTTATTATTTAGCTACTCACTTAATACTGAGTAAGTTATAGCCTTATGACATCTCTTGGGATTTATTAACACTCTGCCTTGTTTAGAGAAGCTTTTGGCAACTCATATTGCTATTTTATATTTTCCTGCGATTCTTTTTATACTTATTATTATTTTGGGTACTGGGGATTGAACCCAGGGGTACTTGACCACTGAGCCAATTCCCAGCCCTATTTTGTATTTTATTTAGAAATATGGTCTCACTGGGTTGCTTTTGCTGTGGCTGGTTTTGAACTCATGATTCTCCTGCCTCAGCCTCCTGAGCTGCTGGGATTACAGGCATGTGCCACTGTGCCCAGCTCTTTTAGACTTATTAACTTTTCATGTATGAACCTTTTCTTTCCCAACTGGATGTCAAATTCTTTTTTTTTCTAATCCTCTTAATGGGGATTGAACCCAGGGTTGCTCTACTACTGAGCTACGTACATCCCCAGCCCTTTTTACTTTTTATTTTTAGTATTTATTTATTTATTTATTTTTGTGCTGGGGATTGAACTCAGGGTCACTCAACCACTGAACCACATCCCCAGCCCTATCTTATTTAGAGACAGGACCTCAATTGATTGGCTTAGCACCTCGCTTTTGCTGAAGCTGGCTTTGAACTCATGATCCTCCTGCCTCAGCCTCCTGTGCTGCTGGGATTACAGGCGTGCACCACCACGCCAGGATTAGTCTTTATTTTGAGACATGGTCTCACTAAGTTGTCTAGGCTGGCCTAGAACTTGCAACCTTTCTGCCTCAGTCTCCTGAGTTGCTGGGATTCCAGATGTGTGCCACCAAACTAAATAGATGTTATATCCTTTGAGGACCAAGAACCATGGATGCCAGTTTTCAGTTTCAGCAGGGCCCAGCTGAGAGTCATGAATGAGTCAGGATTTGCATAATTCATTGTGTTGGTGGGTTACTTACTGTCTGTCAGCTCAAAACTCTACTTAACTCTGCAACCTAATCTGTGATGCTTGGGCTGGGATCTGCAAACGGTAGCTCCTAGCAGCATTTGGGGGCTCTGAATCACATATTCAATCAACCACTGATTGTTTTTCAGGAATCAGGCACTATGCTAGATATTGCAACACAAAAGCAAAGAAGCCACTGGTCTAGCACTGAAACAGCTTACAATTAAGAGTGGGAATGGGAAAGTCAGAGTGTAATGGAAAGAGTGATGCATAGGCCCAAGGCACTGTGGGAGTCCTGAGATGAGATAAATGGATTCAATGTAAGATGAAGGATTGATACCTGGGATAGGATATTTGGGAGACTTTGGATTTTCTTTCCCATTCATCTCTGCTAAGTAATGAAGATGTGGTTAATCAAGAGTGTTTGAGTTAGATGACATTTAGAGTTCAATCCCACTCAGAGTTCAGGATTCTAAAAAAAAAAAAAAAAAAAAAAAAATCCCAGACTTGTTTTTAGAGCCAGATAAAGGCTGAGACACTGTCAGCATTTCAGGCTGCCTTCTGCTGAGAAAATGAAGCAATGGTACCTGGAAAGGATCATAACGTGACTTGGCACATATTAGAACTCTTTCTACTTTGGCCACAAAACTGTCCAATAGCTGCCTCAGAAACAAAGACTACACAGTACAGAGCTGAGACAGAGCAATTTGCCTTTTGATCCTCAGAGTCTGCATGGGGCCAACTCTTCTAGATGAATTCTCTTGCCCCCAGGTCGCCTGTGCCTTCTGGCATCTTGCTGCCCTGTGTATCTCCCATTGCTGTGTTTAGTACTTGACACATGTATTTGCTTTCTGAATTCAGTTGAGGTGGCTAAATGTTGTTGTTGTTTTTTTCTCCTTAAAGAAGCCTGAATTTTAAACAGGGGATAAAATGTGTGAAGCTCAAATAAGATATCTCTGCTTTGAGTGTATCAGTGCTCAGGTTGGTGGGGAGGAGCATCCTACAACAAAGGTAGTCGACACCTGTTTATAGACAATACTCTTCCTGACATAAAACCTTCTACCTAGAAGTAATGGGAGCAGATATGTGAAAAGAAAGAACTCATACATGCTTTATTTACCAAAAGTGGAAAGTAATTAAAAATGCATTTCCTGAGAAGAATGCTAAGAAACTATTACTTCAGTTGAGTCTCTGGCCCTCCTCAGGGTCACTGAAGCGATAACAGACTTGAAAAACAAAGGAATCTTTATTTCAGAGATGACTGAAATAAAAATTAAACTTTCCCTTCAATAAGCTGTTTCTTACCCCTTTCTCTTGGGCCCATCATGGCTGGCTTTCTGCCCAACAGAAGGTGAAGTGTCTGATTTCTCCACATCCTGGCGGGTTTGTTCTTGGCTTCGTACTTCTTCAGATCCTCATTAAAAACAATCAGAAGACAAGTTTACACACAAAATGGCCAGAGATGAGAGCAAATTTCTTTTTTTCTTCTTCTTTTAAAATACTTGAGATTTTTCTTTCTTTCTTTCTTTCTTTCTTTCTTTCTTTCTTTCTTTCTTTCTTTCTTTCTTTCTTTCTTCACTGGGGATTGAACCCAGGGATGCTTTACACTGAACTACATCCCTAACCCATGATTTTTTTTTTTTTTTTTGGTACCAGGGACTGAACTCAGGGACATTTGAACCACTGAGACATATCCCCAGCCCTATTTTGTTTAGAGACAGGGTCTCACTGAGTTGCTTAGCACTAGGGCCTCTCTAAATTGCTGAGGCTGGCTTTGAACTCGTGATCCTTCTGCCTCAGCCTCCTAAACTGCTGGGATTATAGACATGTACCACTAGGCCAGCCACAGCCCTTGTTTTTAATTGATTGATTGATTCATTGATTGATTTGAGATTGGGTCTCCATAAGTTGCTTAGGGCCTTGTTAAATTGCTGAGGGTGGCCTCAAACTTGCAATCCTCCTGCCTCAGACTGTTGATTCGCATGGGTTAAAGGTGTGTGCCACCATGCCCAATGAATGCAAATTTCTATTCTGCAGCCACTGTCCCACAAAGATTCTTGTGCTAATCCAGAAAAGTAAATGCAGAGTAAATGGTAATGACATTCCCACCCCAAATTGCTCAGGTACACAGTTATTTCTAACTTGTTGAAATATTATAGAATTAACTAAGGACTAAGATCAGGACTCATCTATGGGAGGTTTGCTGGGATAAGCTTTCCTGGGGAAGGAATACATCAACCCTCTCTAGGGCGGAGAAGTCTGGTTCATAACAACTTCAAATCTGTAGAAGCTGAGTTTTAGCATGAGATTATAGTAACGATAACCTCACTTCTGAGCACATAAACCAGTCATCCTGGGAGGGCACCTGTTTCCCATCTGTGAAAGCCCTTCCTGGAAAGTGCCACACCCAGAAGTGGCAATGGAATCAGTTGTAGGGCTCCCAGTGCAGTCAGCCAGACTTAAAAGCAAGGGCACTAGTCTCCTATCTATGAAAGATGAGATAGTGTAGGGATAGGCCAGAAGATGCCTGTCTACTGGGCACGAGAAACATGCTCCCAAGGTCAAATTGTACTTAATATTTAACCAATTAAGTTGTAGTTTGTAAGCATTCTGAAGGTGTTATTTGCATTTGGGGCCAGTATAATTCTTCATTGAGAGAAACTATCCTATGCATTTCTGGTCATTTAGCATCTCTGGCTCCTGCCTACTAAATACCATCAACCCAACCTAGTCGTTGTGGCAACTAGAAATGCCCCTTTGCATTTCTTTTTTTTTTTCCCTTCTATCCTTTTTTCTTTTTTTTTTAAGCATCAGAAATTTATTGGTTGCTCAAAACATTACATTGATCTTGACATATCATATATCATACATTTGTTTCAAGTGGGGTATGAATTCTTATTATTCCCCCGTGTACAGATTGCAGAATCACGTTGATTATACAGCCACGTTTATACATACTGCCAAACAAGTGTCTGTTGTATTCTGCTGCCCTTCCTATCCCCTTCCTATCTCCCTCCCCTCCCATCATCTTTCTCTACCCCATCTACTGTAACTCATTTCTCTCTCTTTCCTCCCCTTTCCCCTCACATCCTCTTCTATGTAATTTTGTATAACAATGAGGGTCTCCTTCCCTCTTCCATGCAATTCCCCTTCTCTCTCCCTTTCCCTCCCACCTCTTGTCCCTGTTTGATGGTAATCTTCTCACGTTCTTCCTCCCTGCTCTGTTTTGAGTTGCCCCCCCTTATATCAAAGAAGACATTAGGCATTTGTTTTTAAGGGATTGGCTGACTTCACTTAGCATAATCTGCTCCTTTGCATTTCTAAATGCCCCTGTTTGGGGAACAAGAATGCAGTGCACAGTATCAATGCTTTGTCAAGAACCAAGGATTAGCTGGGTACAGTGGAGCAGGCCTGTAATCCCAGCAACTCTGGAGCCTGAGGCAGGAGGATCGAAAGTTCAAGGCCAGCTTCAGCAACAGCGAGGAGGCCGTGAGCAACTCAGTGAGACCCTGTCTCTAAATAAAATACAAAATAGGACTCAAGATGTGGCTCAGTGGTTAAGTGCCCTGGGTTCAATCCCTGGTACTCCCCCCCCCAAAAAAATCCAAGGATTAAAAAAAGTATCATTTAAATAAAATACATCTGAAACAAAACTTGTTGAAAAAAATCAAGAATTGCTTTCACAATGTGAATCATTTAATTCACTTGTTTTATGTTACTTTCTTGGTTATTTAGTAAAATATTAGAAGTTCATCAGAAAGAGAAGTGTCTGTGATGAAGACAAATGGCTCTTTTGAAGCCCTCAGCATGTTAGATTTATGGAAAATCACTATGAATTTTATTTTTCACTGTATTCCTTTTTTTGTATGAATTACATATTTTGATTCCGTGCTACCGAGGTGTGAAATAACCTTAGGGAGTCAGAAAATTTAGCTGTGCTCATTTTCTACATAACACAGGGATGTTATTTAGCATGCCAAAATAAAGATGAGAACAGTTTTGAAAGTAAATCATTGCTTTAGTTACCTGGACTTCTTCTTAAGATGGATTGCCGGACAACATCAGTGCCCAGAACATTCACTTGCTTGAAACGCTTTGCCTTTTCTTCAAAGAACCATTCACCAGTTATAATCCTTAGCTGCCTTCTCAAGGGAAAAAGGCAGAGTATTAAAATTTGATTATTCAGCTGCATAATTAACTCTCAAAAACTTCTAATGAAGTAAAAATAGCTACTTAAGGAGTTGATCTCAGTCTCTGTAGTATTTTATAGTGACAATAAAAGACACTACTGTATTAATCAAATATATGTATACTATCTGCTAGGTACTTGTTAATGACTCTTCATACTTGTTCTGTTTTGATTCATAACAACTTGTGTAAATCTCCATTTTTATAGCTGAGGAAACAGAAACCTACAGCAATAAAAAAATGGCATATCTCACATAACATAGCTGGTAAATATTAGAGCTAGAGTCCCCTCCCAAATAGTCTGGTTTAGGGCTCATGTTTTTTCTTACCTGCTACATTATTGGGGAGAAATAATAATAATAATTATTATTATTACTACTACTACTACTACTACTACTACTACTACTACTACTACTACTACTATACTACCAGGGATTGAAACCCAGGGTGCCTAACCACTGAGCCACACCTCCACCCTTTATATTTTATTTATATTTTTGGTACCAGGGATTGAACTCCAGGCACTAAAACTCTGAGCCACATAGCCAACCCTATTTTGTATTTTTTAAAATATATATATTTTTAGTTGTAGTTGGACACAATTCCTTTATTTTATTTTTTAATTTTTATGTGATGCTGAGGATCAAACCCAGTGCTTCACATGTGCTAGGTGAGTGCTCTACTGATGAGCCACAACCCCAGCCATATTTTTTTTTTTTTAAGAGACAGGGTCTTGCTAAGTTGCTTAAGTTCTCTCTAAACTGCTGAGGCTGGCTTTGAACTTGTGGTCCTCCTGCCTCAGCCTCCTGAGCAGCTAGGATAACAGGAGTAGCCAGGCAGGAAGTGATCTTTGATGTAAGCAATGAGGAACAAGTGAAGATTTCAAATGATACAGGGATTACAATTAGATTCAAATTTAAATTTTCTTTTTTCCCCTTTTTTTCTTCTCTTTTGGTTTGTTTGTTTGTTTGGTGCTGGGGATGGAACTCAGGGCCTTGCACCTGCTAGGCAAATGCTCTACCTCTGAACTACACCCCAGCCTAGAAAGATTTCTTGATGCAACATGAACGCTGGATTACAGTAGAGAATAAAGACAGATTGGCCATTGTAGTAGCCTAGGAGGGAGGGGACAGAACCCATGCTAGGACAATGGCCAGACTAACATGCTAAGAGCCACAGCCAAGTAATATGATGCATGGCATTTTTGGTTGAAAGGTGACACCAGCTAGCCATTGAGATGATATGATTATGTTAAGATTTGCATTCATATGGATATTGGACTCCTGCTGTTCACCTCGCCTAGGCCTGCTACGGGACTCCTGAAGAGTTCCCATTGGTTGGGGAAGTGCAGTAGGAGGGAATTCCGAGGGAGGAACCTCCTCTGGGGTGCCAGGAGAACACTGCGTGAGTGGATCAGCAATCTTCCCGGGCACGTACGGGCCATTGGCGGCAGTTTCAAAAATAAAGTTTGTTCCTGCTTGAGTGGCTCGTGATTTTGTGCCCAGCCAGACTGCGGCACTAACAGACACGTTCAAAATGCAGGTAGTAGAAGAACCTGCTTGGATTTTGCCATTGATTGAAAGTTAAGATGGGAAAGGATATTTGAGTAGCCCTTTCCATCTTTTAAGCCTTACCTGCCATGACTATGTGAAATCATCTCCCGTCTTCCCTCCTGAAATGCCTATTACCCTCTTCTTCATTTGCACTTCTCCTATGACCTATAACATTTTAAACTTTATTTTAGAGTTATATCTTCCCAGGCTTTTCGATACCTACTGGGCTCTAAGCTCACTGAGAGACAATTTCTGTCTGATTCATCTTTCTCCCTGGTACCCAGAAGAGAGGTTTTCATAAACTGTGCTCTCAAGTACTACTTTAAAAATGAATGATTGACTGCTCCCCACCACTTTAACACATTACTCTTTTCACATCCTCACAGCCCTCAGTACTATCAGTGGCATGAGGGCAAGAATCTTGGCTGTGTTGTTCACCATCTCTAGGAGAAGTACTTGGCACTGTGCTTAGTAAATATTTGTGGAATGAATTAAGACATCTAGAATTCAACCTATAGCATCTGTGCTGCTATAAAATCTATTTTGAGCCAGGTATGGCTACACACGCCTGTAATTCCAGTGACTTGGGAGGCTGAGGCAAGAGAATCGAAAGTTGGAGGCCAACCTCAGCAAATTAGCGACACCCTGTCTCAAAATAAAAAATAAAAAAGGCTGGGGATGTGGCTCAGTGGTAAAGAACCCCTGGGTTCAATCCCCAGTACTGTGATAAATAAAGTCTATTTTCAAGCTTACAAAGAGAATTTTAACAATCACAGAAGTCATTCAGTAGTCTAAACAGATTTCTAATTAAAAAGGAAGAAATGTATTTAGCTACTTAGGGAACATTCTGAGAATGGTAAATAGGCCTGTGCGACTAGGGTAAAGAGTTTGTGGAGGAGTGTAGTGGAAAGTGCGGTTGAAAGGTAGGCTTGGGGCCATGTAATGGAAGTCTGAATACCATACAAAGGAGCCAGAATGTCACTGTGGAGGCGATGGGGTACTCAGGCAGTTTTTCTAAAGTTCAGATTGGATATTGTAATCTCTGGAGAAATATAAGAGAAGAGAGAAATCAAAAGAACCAAGCAGGCCAATTAGGAAGTTATTGCAATAGTCACGATAGGAAATGATGAAGATATAAATCAGGGTTTCATGGGGATGAGGGGCAAAAAGAAGGATAAAGATCCTTCAACCATTGAAGATGAGATTAGCAAGAACTGGTGATAAGTTGAATGTGATGGCTGAGAAAAGAAACAGAGTCAAATAGAGGTATCTAGCCTGAGAGAATTATATCCACAAAATTTAGCAATTGGTTGGATTATACATCAACAGCTGGATGGCAAATATAAAAATCCAGAAAAAAAAATATGTCACCCTTGTTCCCCACAGCAATTACCATGAAATCCTTCTGAATATAAGTGAGAAAGGCAAGTTATACATGGAACAAAGTTCCAATACTAAGGAAAAAAGTAAAAATGTCAGCCTTGGAGCATTCATTGAAAGGCGAGACCATAGCATGTCTAACTCAGGTCTACTCCCAAGTGACTATATCACCTACTGAGAACTGTTAGGATATATCAAATCTAAGAAGGTCTAACCTACCAAAACCAAAAGACTTGAATATGTTAAACTATTTCTGGGTGCAGCTCGAGTGATCTACACATTTACACTTATGTTAGAAATCCAGGTGATAATTGTGGTATTTAAATGCTAAAGATGTCCTCTCAAGATTACTGCCAATCAAACACTAATGTACATACTGATGATATCAGACTTTGCAGATGGAATTAGGTTGCTAATTAGTTGACCTTAGAATAGCAAATGATCCCGGATTATTCCTGTGGGCCTAAGGTAATCATATGAGTCTTTAAAAACAGAGGAAGAAACAGAAGTCAGAAGTCAGATTGCAAATGTGAAGCTCAACATGCTGAGGAGGCTCTAAGATGTGGGGATCTTACAGGCAAGAAATGGAAAGAGAGGCCTCAAGGAATTAAGAGTGGTTCTCAGTAATAGCCCACAAGGAAATGGCGACTTCATTTATACAGCCACAAGGAACAGGATTCTGCCTACAAGAGTATCATGGAATTAGGTTCTTCCCAGAGCTGCTTTATAAGAGTTCAATCAGTTGACACCTTGATCTCAGTCTTGTGGAACCAGAAGTAGAAAAATGAGCCAATCCAATCCAGACTTTCAAGCTTATGGAATGATCAGATAATAACTTTGTATTGTTTAAAGCTGCCAAATTATGATAATTTGTTAAGCTGACAATAGAAACTACTATAATAATTAAACATAGTCAAGTATGTATTTTAAAATTTAGCACAGGAAAGATCTGCACACGTCACAAGAAGATAATAAGAAAACTCCCAGAAGCACAATAGGGTAGAGATGGACACACTGTGGTCTGTGGGTCAAATTCACCCTACCAACCTATTTTGTCCAACATGCAAGTTAGGAAACGGTTTTTTACAATTTTTTAAATGACTGGGAAAAAAATCCTGAAAGAATATTTCATGACAAATTAAAATTAGATGAAATTCAAAATTTAGTGTGTGTGAGTAAAGTTTTATTGGAAGATAGTGAGGCTTAATTATTTATGTGTTTTTCCTGGTTGTTCATGTGCCTTAACCACAAAATTGAACAGTTGTAACAGTAGACAATATAGCCCAAAAGGCCTAAAATATTTACTCTCTGGTGTTTTAGGAAAAGAAAAAAAGTTTGTCTACCTCTTTAATAAGTCAGGGTTTTCACAGAATGAAAAAGACTAAGAGGAACAATATAGCTCAGTGGTTGAAAACCACCCACTGGTGACATGCCAAGGTCTTAGCTCTTTTATATATATATATATATATATATATATATATATATATATATATATATATATATATATATATATATATATATATATATATATGTTAAGGTATGGAGTGAATAACATACTGATAAAAGTTTCATGCATGACAGGAGAAAGTGGGACACTTCCAGTATTCATGCCCCAGGAAATGAGCCTCCATATCACCTTTACCACTGACATCTAGAGCTGCCAACACCTAACACAAATAAGATCTTTCTAGAATTGCTAGGCATTACCTTTTGCTATCCTTGTATTTGCTCAACTCAGTTATGTGCTTGAGTCATTTGTTACTTTAGAATTTCAAAACATCAGAACAATCTCTTGGGATTATACCTGAGTCACCTGTTCAAGTCCTGAAGGTAGATAGAAGCTTGGCAGGATAACAGGAAACTAATACTAATACTAAATGAATTCATACCAGGTATTGTAATCAGGTAATGTACCAAGCACATTATATATGCTATCTCTAATCCTCACAGTGAGACATCAAATAGCTATTATTATTCTCAGTTTACAGACAAGGAAAGTAAAGCTCACATGTGCTAAATAA